CTCAGTTCAATGGAGGTTCTTCTCTAGGTAGCTGAATTACTGTAATCTATCTATTGATTGATGGCCCTTTTATAAAAAATGCTCATAGTCAGACCTCTAAAACAGCTTTCACTTTTTCCCTAGCCGCTTGTTGCATCACAGACGGTGAATCTTCAGAGGCCTCAATGTTAGCGATCCATTTGCAAACATTGGACCAATCGAATACTGATCTGAACGGAGACCAGCTAATCATGATGGCCATAGTACTACGAAGATCTCGACAAAGCCATGCCAAATAAGACCTTTTTTGATTATAAATTGTTCAAAACAAAACAAGTTCCATTTAGATGAATTGATCCATTTCTCGTTGGTCAATCATGATCTTTGCGGGATGTTATTCGGGAGGTGAAGAATATCTTAGGGAGGAAGGGTATTACTTTGTCTTTCTGACCGGTACATGCTCAAGCACCAGCTTCACTTTTGGAAAGAATAAGAATACATGGCTCACTCCCGGATTGAGCCTCCTCTCCTTGGATCACTCCCTTCGATTTTTTCCCTGAAATCGGGATTTCCCACATTTTAGAGACGGTATGGGACATGAAGTCTGGTAGCAGTGCCCCTTGGTACCACCTCACCTAGGCCTCGATTTTTAGTTAACGACTTTCAAAACATCCAGGCCCAGGAGGAAGACTTTCTAGTGGATAGAAAAATTTTCCCTCTGTATATGGGATATATTAAGGGGCCACACAAATTTGACGAAGAACCCGATGCCAAACGCCCTTCTCTTGGTAAATAGGATTAGGACTGTCCCTAAGAAACAATTTAGATTCAAGAGGAATTCGGTGTGACACCTACTTGTCTTCTATCCAACTCTGCAAGACGTCCCTATTAAGTTTTGCATAATCCGAAGTAAAAATCTCTAAGGCACGTTGTCGAAGCGCAATCGGTAGGTAAACGGTAGGCCCTGAAAGGATTCAGAGAATGGAGTCACATGCATAGGTCTGCTCTGAACCTTTCGTTACAGTATTATATGTGAAGGGTGCAGATACGATATGCTGAAGTACTACCGACACCTCAGTGCGGTTGGAATTTGTCGACCCTCACCTTTAAAGTAATAAATTACCTGCTCCAAGATCGAGCGCTGTTGTGATCGTAGGCGGTAGCCGATAGATCATTCCTGGTAAGAAGAAAAGTACAACTTGCATGGCTTCATCTTCAGAGGCAGTTTTGTAAAAGCTCTCCAAGTAGGCTAGAGGGTCGAACTGAAATCAAAAGCATTTTTTATTCGGTATCCATCGATCAATTCTTCGTTTTTAGGCCTCTGAAAACCGAGAATTTCAGAAATCATCAGTTTTAGTTTGGTGTAGGTAATTAGGTGTAAATCTTAATCTGTCTATCCTGATCCTATTCTATCCTCCTAGTCGGCTGTATCCACACCCGAGGCTCTTTNACCTGAGGATCTGACTCCCCAGCAGATCTCTCCAGTTGAAAGGGCCCGACTCACCAGACACTCATGGTTTTCTGCCGGCCTCTGTAGACCAGAAACGTATACGTTCTGGAACTTCGTTGTAGTTATTAGGGGAGGGAGGGGGAGGGGGGCTAGTGCAAGGGGATCCAGAAAAAAAGCTGAGCGAAACTGAACACTCAGATTTTTTTCGGATACTGACGCCTCCTCTTCCGAAAGGTGGCCATATGACATCACAAAATTTCTTTCGATCGCGAATTTTCGGGCAACACCTGTCACCGACGAAAGCGTAGGAGAATGTGAGTCATTCCATAACACGATGAGGAAAATTCACTTCCGTTGCTTCCACCCCTCCAAGCTGTCTGTTGGGTCAGCTGTCTCTGACCTGATGACATGATTCTGAACGTCCTGTCAGTAAATGATTTATTTTAAGCTTCGATTGTTATCGTCTTTCAGTCTCATCGTTTTTTGATCACCACAAATCGTTTGAGAAACAAAATCATTAAAATTTATTTATTTTTTCTTCGTTTACTTTGTGTTGTTTACTATTGATTGCATTCTATTTTGTGCTCTGCTGTTATTTACTTTATTGACTCTGACCATATTAGGAGGAGAAGCAGTGCGATTTCATCAGCTCTTTTATCATCGATTATCATTGATTACCACTTTTTGGTACAAATCGTCAATATCACCATCTCTCACTCTTTACCCCCTGCCAAGAACTAAAAATTTGAAAAATTTTCACCCTAAAATTCCATTTTTTTACTACCAGTTTTAATTATACATTAGCACTTTCTTTAGAGCGACTTTTATTGTAGCTCTGAAGGCCGCTAAATGCACATGTGCTGCACATCGCCTATGCATTCCGACTTTTACTGCTCAAAAAGAAGTTTGGCCACGCCTACATCCGAGTGTGAACGGAAAATAACGCTCCTCATAACGATTAGTACTATTTTGGACCATGCCTTCGCTTCCGACACCTACGCCTTGAGGAGAGTGATTTTTTTAAAATTCACTTTTTTGCCAATACATAGAGTAAGATGCAAATGTTACCCAACAGTATGGATGAGCGCTTTCAGTCTTCCAATCGAATGGTGTACCAAATGATCGAGCCCCTACGGAACAGTTACTTATTTGACTTCAAAAATGTTGAATTGATCGATGAACTTGATCCACTAACCTTACCGATCATTTCAGTTCCACTACCACAGCCCTCACTTCGATTCAAAAAGATGTTTATGTAATCCTATAATTTTTACGACTTTACTACTTTTTTGTTCAAGGAATCTCACATATTTTTATTGAACAATAAGCCTTTTGTTATTAACTGATTCCATTTAGGGGATGCGCCCCGCTTTCGACATCTATTCATAGCGTTTGAATACGCATGTGGCTTATACAAAGGTTGGCTCTGAACTGCAAATGTACAGGTCCATGCGTTTATGCTTCTAAACGATTTGACTGTTAATTACGACCCAAAAGGGAGTGGATTCTTCGTTGGCTTGAGATATCGACCAGAGATTCAATCCCTCGGCCATGCATGTGTATAGCACGCTACCTGCCACGACACCATGTCTACAATCTTACAATATTAGTTGATTTTTTTGCATTTACTTTATTTGTTCATTGCTTTATCAACCACTCTGAATAAGTTTTAATTATTCTGTTTTGCATACTGTGTTTCAGAAAAGATCATTTTTTTCCTATCAAAGAGTAATTTTTTCTTTCAATTTTGTAAAAAATTAATTTCAGAAATAACACGCAGGGGAAATAACTTATCCATGAGACATCTATTCTAGAGTGATCACTAGTCGAGGAAAACTCCATTTGGAAGTTTTCATCAATTTTTCTATCTTATTCAAATTTTTTTTNNNTACTTTTTCTTGCCATCACATGAGCTGTGATGGTTAAACGACTTAACGTGGGTGTCAAAGGCTCACCGCATCCGTTTCACATGTGAGATATTAAAAATAGCCTCATAATTTCATTTATGAAATGATCGTTCTAATATTAAATCAGACTCGCCTTGTCCAGATGTGCAGCAGCTGGGCAGATCTCCTGTGGCGGTTCATCGCTAGGACCGTCATCCTCCTTCGTCATTTGGGGATCCGTCTTACAGTATCCAGTTGGCAATAGCCTAATCGTAGATGATCGATGATGATGAGAATTAGGGCAATGGGATCAATAAGATCAATAGTTGCAATTGTCCGCGTGCGTTTGCGTAGGCTCTGCACTGGCCCCGTGGAGGAGCAAGGTGTAACAGGAGCGGCGCGCGCCTCTAGCAGCTCTTCGAGAGAGAGGGAGATGGAGAGGGAGGAAGAAAGCTCTCTTTCCATTCAGTCATCTCCCCTCCGACACTGTCCGTGATCCGAGCCACTCATCTTTTTACCGGCTATCCGCGTATGCTCACGACGCACGGCGTGTACACTTAACTTCTCAACACTTATCCTTCAATAGTTCCTCTTGAGTTACTTTTTAACCTTTTTCTACAGTCTGTTACTAATGATTGGACCTAAAAGTTATGCGCTCAGAATTATTTTTTCCACTTTCTTATCTTTTTTTATTGAATAACAAGTAGCGCACGGGGTCCAAGGTTGTCTCCCCAGCCTTTCTTTACTGCCTTCATGCCAATCGAGCTTTTTCCCCTTCGATCCCCTTCGAGTTTACCTACTTAAATAATTTAAATAACGAATATACATATACGGGGCAAATTTACTGAAATTTTCCTAGAAAAACGGGAGTAGCTTCATACCCTCCCCCCCTCCTCGCCCCTACCACCCTCTCTATAAAATACTGTTTCTTAGACGCAACGACGAATGAGGGAAAGAAACGCTTTAAATACCTCGAAAAACTCGAAAAAAACACTAAAAATTGAAGGTTACCTACATATTTGATAAGACTCTTTCTACCCAATCATGACACGACTCCCTTTTTTCGTAAGAACATTAGCTGCGCCGGTATCGTCCGTTGGTCCCAGTTTTCACTTTCGAGCGTGAATGCATGGCGCACCCCTTGAAGACTAGAGAGAGCTGAACCTTTTATCCGAATGTTCTCTGACTTTCTTTTTCTCTGAACTTTCTGAAGACATTGAGTTTCTCTTTAGTGGTTTTTAATGTGTGACAGAGATTAAAGTCCGAACAATCCGGGTCAGTTTCAACTTTTTTCCTCTTCTCGTTTCCTTTACTTCACCGAAAGGGAATTGCCAGTTTTAACTTCCCATCCATTGAGAGTCTCTAAAGAAGGGTCTTTGTTCACTTCAGATTTCTCTGCTTTTGAAAGTGACTGTTGGGTGGGCTGTTTTGTAGCACCGAAATCTTTGGCTGATCCTTGGAATCCCTGGAGGCACCGAACTATTTCTATTTTGGTAATCATTTTCATCTGTTGGCGAGCTGTCCCATCACTTCTGACAGCTTTCGGGCTTGATGACAATAGAAATAGATCTAAACATCCAGTGACAACTTGTAGAGCATGTGACATTGGTGAACATCTGTTCTATGGAGCAACAAATAATCGGGGGTGAAGTACTGGTACTTGGCCCTCTCTGCTAGCCTCCTCCCCTGCTATCCTTCACACAGCAATTAATCAAACAACACCGACGTTTCGAACCACTTCTCGTCTCCGAGGCCAGTCACTTAGCCCTTCTTAACATTGAATTTACAGACAAGATCTTCTCCATTAAGACTTTCCATGAGCTGGTCAACAATTAGTCTTTAATGCCCAAGGTTTCATCTGAGAGGAAACTGCTGTAGTTGAAAACTGCTCTTAAATACATTCTCCATAGATAATCCTTTTGTACTATCCCTTAAGAACAGATAATTTATTTGCTGTTGAGTCTCTGAAAGTAAACTAAGAATTCTTCGGGCTGGTGTAGAAAGTAGGAATGAACGCTGGGTTCTTCAAATGATAACAGCCTTCGTTGGTTCTCTCTTATTGTCGATTCCATTGCCGG